AAACACTTGAATTTCAAGGTGCATGAAAAAAGTTGAGGCAGCTTTATCAGGTTGATTTGTTTTTAACTTGTGAAAAGTTTTTGATAAACAATTGACAAGACATAGAGTTAGAGCTGCAGGAAAAGCATCATGGGACAAAGGAAGGAGAAGAAACAAGTTGGCAAGTTTATTTTTCCCCTGTGTTGCCCTGGCTTAATGGGTCAAACTCTTGTCTGGAGGTTTTTATTGTTGTTGTTTTTTAAGGTAAAGATTTTAAGATAGGACTATGTTTTTTCTTTACATTAAAAAAAAATTCAAAGACCAAAGCCTTTCACCTGTATTTCAAAGAATGTATTAAGAGTTTAAAAATCTATATAATTACAAATTAAATTCAGATTTACTCAATTGTACAAGCACTCAAGGTCTAGATCTTCCAAAGAATAATTCATACACCAAACTTTGTCAATGCCAGCAATTGGCAGTAAACAGATAATACTAAAAAAAAAAAAAAAATCACTGGGAAACAGTATCTAAGATCAGATGACAGCCAATATTCTTATGTTATGAGAATCTAGAACACTCAGGCTTAATTTCTGGCACGCACTAAGTTGGATAGGAGGACTTTTCCCATGTTATCCTTAATTCAGCCTTTAATGATATTAATTCCTTTGCTCTGCCTGTCCGTGTATACTGAGGGATTTAGACAAGAAGTACAATTAACAACACTGTGTTCTCTCCAGTTGCTAGCGTTTGAAGGTAAGACTCTCCTGTATCTTGTGGTTAAAATACTTGTCTGACATCTCATGGTAGATTTCAGATCGCGGTGAACCTAAGCGTGGAGCGCTATGCCCTGGTGTTCGGAATGAACACCTTTATTGCCTTAGTGATTCAGACTGTCATGACTGTGATTGTGGTGGATCAGAGAGGGCTCAACCTGCCAGTCACCACGCAGGTAAGCTCCAGGACTTCTGTTTTCCATCTCATGTAGTTGCTGGGAATGTAGAATAACTAGGTTACCTCCAAAGTTCTTCAACAGCTAACAATATTTTGATTTCTTAAATTCCTTGGCTAGGCAAACTTAAAAACACACGATTCCTTAATTATATTATAACACCATGAAGGTCAATATTTACCTGGGTAAGGGAGGTAAGAAGTAGCCTTGGGGTCTTAAATTCTCCCTTACAGACACTGCACGTAAGTCAGGCCTGGTGGCACAAGCCAAGAGTTTGAGACATAGCACAAAGCACTATTCCAGCCTCCAAACATGGACACCCAGATAAATCGGTAGGATCTAATGTGCTTTCACTATTGATAACAGCAGCTGGGATTAGAGTTTAGACAATCTGCCTCCAAACCAGCGACTCCCTATCCCTGAATTGCTTATATTTTCACACTTGATTCTTCTAAGATAGAAGAGCGGATTGTCTAATCAACATGACCCATCCTCAGATCCTGGGTCTCAGTTACCCCATCATCCAAGCAAACTGACAGCATCATTCCACGAGGTCAATGACATAGGTGGTCAGATTTTATATGTGGCTAATTATTCGTTTTTCTCCAGTTTTTAGTTTACGGGAGTTATTTTGCAGTCATCGCTGGCATTTTCCTGATGAGAAGCATATACATTCTCTACTTTGCCAAATGCCGAAAGGAAGTACAGAGCCCAGCTCAGCCACAACCAGAGGAACCCAGGAACATGGGCATGGCGACAAAGCTCTGACCTTATTACATCAACTGTGGTGGTTTTCAAATCAGTGAATGGAAAGGCAGGCTTTTGAGAAGGAGAGCTTGAGACAGGTGGCCACACATCGACACGGTCTGCAACTACGGGCTCCAGGGAGCCTTTTCAAAACCACAACAAAAGCTCAGCTTTGAAGCAGATGTCTGTGAGCCCGGCTGAGCTGTGTGTAGTCAGCAGGACTCATCACAGACGAACAGCCCATGTTGGGGACCCCCTTGAATAGCAGTAACTGGAAATTCTAGTTCCAGTCACTTGTAAGAACATGCAAACGGCATGGAAACAAACCATGATCTTGGAGGTGATGTCCCTGTTATTGAACAGACATACTAACTGTGCTGACGCTGTTGCTTGGCTTAGGTGCTCATCGGATCTAAGTAGTCAACACCCGGGACATTGTCTTGTCTGGTGAGCCATTTTTCTTCCTCTTCCCGTGAGTATATCTCTGTTTCAATTCTGCACTTCTCTGATAGAATAACAAGATCTGGTCCCATTTCTAAGGGCTGCTCTTGGACTTTGAAAACAGTATTATTCACAAGCTCTGATTTGATAATTTTGCCAATTTAATTTTTTTCATGATTATTTTTTATTTTGTGCTCTGCTGAGATTTTGTGTTGAAACTCTACCTCAGGAATAGCTCTGTATACCCCTGCATGTCCAGGGGAAGATAGTCACATCAATTCTCAGTGGCCTGGGAGAGGCAGGGAGCCTCCTCCCCACCATGACCTCAGATAGATGTGGTAATGCTGCATCAGTGTGATATCTACGATAGAAACTGTACAGGGAATTTCCAGGGGGTTCTAGCAGTATTTATATATATAAATATATATATAAACTTGGGGGAATTAAACACCTAATTTGTATTTATTTTTTTTTAAATTTTTTGGTGCTGGAAATTTGAACCCATGGCTTCATACAGGCTAAACGTGAGATCTACCACCGAGCTATACCCCCATCCCAGAAACACTTAATTTTTAAAAGGCAGAGCTTGTGCTAAATAAAGTGCATCTAAATTTTTTAAAGAGTCTAATTTTTTTGTTGGAATTCTGCTGTAAGTTATCTGAACATATCTGCCATTTGGAACTTACAGTGGAGACTGTGTTGGCAGTCAGACTTTGGGAATAAAGAACACTGACGCAAGATTTTATTTCAAACACACTTCGTTAGAAATCTCAAAACTCATTCACTAAACTGAAAATAATATTCAGTCCCAAACTCAACACAGCAGCTCCCATTTATCCAGTTTTGCTTTCCCTCGTTTCAGGCGGGTCAGCTACAGTCTGGTAAGTAGAAAATCCCAGAACTGAACAATTCATACACTAAACTGCGTGTGAATGGTGTTCCAAGTAGCATAAATCAAATCCTGGTCTTCTCTCTGTCCTGCCTGGGACGTGAATCAACCCTTTGTCCAGCATATCCATGGAACTCACCCAGTAGTCACTCTACCAGATTTATCCTATAATCATGACCTCAGGTATAAAAGGGTTTGGGAAAGTAATTTAGTTTCATAAAATATTACCAAACTGATTTCTAATGAGGACATTACAATCGTCAGTCTGCTTCCTGCCATTTCAATCCTTGATCACAGCCAAAATATACAAAGCCTACCTTGGGTTGTTCATATAGTAATCATGTATTTCTGTTGTTGTCGTCCTTTTATACATGACAGTAGCATGTATTTCAACATATCACGCATACATGGAGTGTAACTTCTCATCCTTGTGGTTGTATATGATGTAGAGTTACATTGTTTGTGTGTTCATATATGAACTCAGCAAAGTTATGTCCAGTTCATTCTACTGTCTTTCCCATTCCCATCCCTCCATACTTGCCCCCATTTCTCCCCTTCAGTCAGGTGAACCTCCCACTCCTCCCTCCCCGCAGCCTACTGTGAGTCAGCATCCACATATCAGAGAGAATATTCAACCTTTGGATTTGGGGGATCAGCTTATTTTACTTAGCATGATAGCCTCCAATTCCATCCACTTACAGGCAAATGCCAAAATTTCATTCTTTTTTTATAGCTGAGTAATATTCCAGTGTGTATACATACCACATTTTCTTTATCCATTTATCTATTGAAGGACACCTTCATTGGTTCTGTTATAGCTACTGTGAATTGAGATGCTATGAACATTGATGGCTGTGTCACTATAGTATGTTGATTTTAAGTCCTTTGGGTACATGCCAAGGAGTGGGATAACTGGGTCAAGGATGTTCCATTCCAAGTTTTCTGAGGAATCTCTATACTGCTTTTCCGAGTGGTTGTACCAATTTGCAGTCCCACCAACAATGTAGGAGTGTACTTTTTTTCCCACATCCTTGCCAACATTTATTGTTACATGTATTCTTTATAACTGCCGTCTGACTGAAGTGAGATGAAATCTCAGTGTAGTTTTAATTTGCGTTTCTCTACTTGCTAGTGATGTTGTGTTAGAGTCTGTAAACAAGTCAGGATGGCGCCTGACAAATGTTAGAGTCTGTAAACAAGTCAGGATGGCGCCTGGCATTTTGCCAGAGGGAGTGGTTTGTGAAGTAACAGTAACGCCAGTGAGCCATTAAGTGTGGAGATTCCTTATTGGTTGACTGCTGTATTGAGTTTATGTTAATTAAGATAAGCTGTGTGGAATGTATATATACCGCTCCTGTCCTACAATAAACGGCTCCCACTCCTGCTGTAATGTACACAAGTTGTTCGTCACCCCCCGGTTATTTTGCCCAGCCAGCCGGACTGTGGCAATGTTGAACATTTTTCCATATATTTGTGGACGATTCCTATTTCTTCTTTTGTGAAGTGTCTGTTCTGTTCCTTAGCCCATTTATTGATTGGGTTATTCATTTGTCCTGCAAGCAGCCAGATTGGAGGGGGAGTGGGAGATCCTGGGGGTTTCCACAACCAGTTGTCCCCTGTGTAAACCTCTTTCCATGTTTGATTTTCCCCTGGCCACTTGGGCTCAAGTCGGGGTTGGCCAGGTCTGTATTTCAGGCCAAACTTGGAATCAGCTCCCACAGCTGGCCTGTACTGTGGCTGCAAAATGATTCCTTCCTCTGTCCTCCGCACGCCACCTGGAGAGATGGCAGCTTCTTTCCATCACAGGGCACCTTTCAGTTTAGTCGGGCCATGTCCTTGTTCTCTCCATACCCAGATGAGCCTCAGGCCTCCCAAACATTCAGGTTCCTTTCCTTCCCTGATCCGTCCACTGTTCTCATGGAGGGACCACTCCTTTCTAGCCTGGCTAAGACAGCAGCTGTACCGCTGGGGATTTCTCCTTTATTTTATTACATCCAACCTTCTGAGTCCCTCATCTGCTCATGTCCAGTTTTAAATTCCAGTAAATCTCCCCGCCCTTTTGTTGTTGTTGTTCACCCACCTGCTCAGAAGCTGCCTGTCAACTTTCTTGTCCTCACTCCCTGGATCAGCCAGGAAAGTGACCTCCTCTAATCCGCCATCTTGAAAACTGCTGTGATCATCTTTTTAGGTAGATTTTTTTCTGTGAAAGAACAACTGTATCTGAGATAGAGGTGTGACCTCAAAGAAGTATGAATACATGATGCTTATTTTGCACTTACGCTGGTGGTGTGTATCGCAGTGATTGCCAAGGAGAATTACCCTCTGTACATCCACAGCACCCCCATGGAGAATGAGCTGAATTCCACTACATGGTGCACACCTCCATGGATGTGGCAGATAAGACGATCTCCACCAGGGGGAAGGCCCTGGTGAAGCAGAGGGAGCCCTACCTGGGCCTGCTCTACCCAATAGAGGACTATAAGGCATATGGCTATGTGACCAACTCCAAGGTGAAGTTTGTCATGGTGGTAGATTCCTCCAACACAGCCCTTCGAGACAATGAAATCTGCAGCATGATTCGGAAGCTGCATAGCTTCTGCACAGACATGGTGTGCAACCCCTTCTACAACTCTGGAGACCGCATCCAGTCCAGGGCCTTTGACAAGGTGGTGACGTCTATAATGATCCAGGTGTGCTGAGCAGAACTCTGCACTGAAGAGACACAGCTTGTGCAGAACTGTGCTTAGAGACCTCTGCTTTTGCTGTTTCTATCCTGAGTGTTAGGACCTGCCCTAGGGGCTGGGTGGGGCTTGTGCTTGGTGCCTCTCCACTAAAGGCCTTTCAAGGTGAAAAAGAAAAAAATAAGGCTGATTTTCTTTTAATCTCCATGAAAAAGATTAAGTGAGCTTCACATAGTCTTACCTGTTCATCTTTCTGTACATACAAAAAGAAGGCAGTAGGTGGTTGAGATCTGAAACATTCCGAGGCTTTGCTTGTATCTGAGATTGTAGAGTCTGTCCTTGGTCTTTCAAATGGTGCTATTACCCTTGACAGAAAAAGTCTCACAAGGTAACGGAAGTCTTTAATAAAGATATTGCCCGCCAGAGAGGCACGTGTTCTGTTTTGAAGTCATATCACTATATTTTAACAACGTTACAAGGTACGTTATCCACTCCTAGGATTTGTCCCAATAATCTGAAGACCCCTGAAATATAAATGGGAGAAAATAAGGTGCTACAGCATTTCATTAACTTTGAAATAGAAATGTCACTTACATCAGTTTTGTGGAACTGACTGCCTGTCAGGGGAGCATAAGAAATGTGCCCCCTTTTCCAGGCACTGTTCCCCTACCCCAAATCACCCTTCTTTGTTTGAATGATCAGCTACTTGCCCTGTTACCACCAAAATAAGAAAACGCTCTGCTCAACTTGATTAGTGTGTGTCAAACGAGCAGGTGTGTCGCTTTCAGGTACAGAATCCAGGTAAAGCGGAGAGAGTATGTGTAGAACCAGCACTGATTGGAAACCTAAATACCACCACCGGGTTGGTTAGACTAAATGTAAGGCAGGGAGGGATGCAGTTTGCAGCAGAAACTGAAATTTGGATACAGTTGCACTCCAGAAAGTGCAAGGATGAGAAGGATTAAGTCAAAACAAAGGACCAGCTCAGCCTAGATTCAGCCCCTGAGAGCTGCTACAGCCTTGTCCATATAGGGGGCCTGACCATGCTAACTCTTCTACTTAGTTCTTGGTCCTTCACACTGCTTCTATCCCCGGAAATTTTAAGTTATAGAGAATATCAACTTTCATTCCAGCATTTGAAGTTCAAGTGTTCAATATAGAGCTTAAGTGATGATCTGTGGATGCTGCGGCTCCAGCACCTCTTGCCCATCCTGAACTATGTTCACGTTTCGCTTGACACCGTGCCAGCGTCCTATGAATTGTATCCAAAGTGTCTGCTGAGGCTGACAATGCTGTGTGTGACTCTGAAATTAGATTCCTGCCATATTAGAAATGTCTTTCAATATCAGAATAGGTTCAAGAATTTCATTTCAGTGATATTGGCAAAGTAATACCTGATGAAGATCATCAACATTTTTAATCTTTGCCTTTTGCCTCAGTTCCTTTTTTTATTTCTGATAATTTTACACATAAAAGATTCAAATGGGTAGAACAACTTTCCATATATGCATCTCTAGAGCTAACTCAAATTTCCTCTGGGATTGCTTAGTTAGGTCTTTTCCTTGGTATGAAAAATGTTTTATTTATTGACTTTTAACATTTGCTGGTTGTATATTTTGTTGCCTTTTAGAAATTTGATTAGAGCTCAGGAAAAGAAAGTGCAAATCATGTCTGCGTGTTTCAATACTAAATGGAAACATTCTCAGAGAAAGTAAAAACGAATATTGAAAGTGAAGTGGGACTTTCCTTGCTTTTTTTTATGAGCTGCTCCTGACCACAGCACCCACAATGAGTCAAAAATGACCTTTTTAATTTCTGAGTGCTTAAAGACCCACTTACAGCTTTCATTTCTATGGCATTTTTATCATGAAACAAGTCAACACCTTTGTACCTGCCAAAAGGCCAAGAAAGCAAATAGAAAAGCTTGTCCTGCAACCCAAATGGCTGCTGACACACACACACACCAAAAAAAAACAAAAACAAAAAACAGGATGCAGGCATATTCACCCATGCAAATATTGAGGAGAAGCATGAGCCATGATTTTGAGTCAGATGTAATGATTCCAAGGCAACAGAATTTTACTAGGGTCCCTGCTGATCCTTTTAGTTAGGAATATAATTGCAATTATATTCGAACATGTCAATCAAACTAACTCACTGTTATTTCCTTATCCAAAGTTTCACCACATACTCAGAGCTACTGCACAAAACCAGTACTGGGCAACATCAGGGTTACTTTTCTCAGCTTCTCCAGCTATCAAACAAGATGGCATGCATAAGGGATTCACAGTTTTCTTTAATCAGAGCATGATTATTTTAAGATCTGGAACAATGATTTCTGTAAAGGGACTGCAAAGTGTGTGACTTCAGCGTCACCACATGTTGCTTCAGGACTGCTGTGTCTCATCGAAAACCACCTTCTTACAGATCTTGTCCAAAACCAGCTATCACTGACAGATTATGCAGACATCACACAGAGTAAAGATATTTACATGCAATGATAGGCATATGAAACAAACTCTATCACTTGATCCAATCTAGCTTTCTAAAACACAAGTTCAGTCCAGTGGTTGTTTAGGAGTGACAATGCTTAGTTTAACCATAAACTGAAAGTGACAATAATATTTGACCACTAGGTGGCTCATATGTGTATTTGATTTGGCAGTTTTCTTACATTAAAATGTCTCATTGCTTGTGGAAGTAAATATTAAAACCTAAAACATACTTAATGTGTCCTTTTTTTTACATACATTTAAAAGGCAACTAAATAAAGTTTTGAATAAATTACACAATCACTATTGTATGCTTTTTGCTTGGATGGTTACTAATAGGATTTGAAAAATCTACAAATTGTATGTATAACTATAGTACAATTGTTTCCAATAAGTTAGCAACAAAAACAAAATTTTACCAGCAATAAAATTTGTAATATTCTAGACATGAATTTACTTACCAAATGCCAAAACTGCTAATCATTATTGTGCAGTATGGTGATGGGTATCTAACCCAGGGCCTTGCACATTCTAGTTAAGCACTCTACCACTTAGATATACCACCAGCCCCAAAGTGTTCATTTTTAAAATTAACTGTAAAGTGAATAAATGAACCAAATTGTGTGATGCTTTCATTCACTATTTTTTAGAGGACTGTCAAGAAGCACCTGAAAACAGATGACAGCAAGACATGCTTTTGCAAGTTGTTCTGAGTGTGTGGAACGTTAGTGATTCATTTAAACAACTGTTAAATGTTTCTTTAGGAGTTTCACAGTGATTACTATATCCATGGAGATATGTTTATAAAAACTAGAAAAACACTGTTTAAAAACTTAGTAGAGAAGATTGAGCATCAACAAAGACCTTATAATAAATTAGCACCTCACACTACTTATTTGCTCTCTTTGTTTATTAAGGAAGAGACTTCCAAATGTTCCTTTTAGCAATGTTTGTGCAGTGTCTGGTTTTAGATCACAGGGACATTTTCTGAGCTACTTTCTCTTGACAGATGCACTATTGTAGATCTAGATGGGAAAGCTCCAAGCTGCACAGGACTGTTCCTTGTATTATGGGGTATTCTACATTCCCAGACACTAAACCGTGATGAAAGTGCTTCACCCTTTTCCAGGGAAAAGGGATTCCTCTTCACGTGGTTCTTGTGTGCAACTGCATAACAAGATTTTTTTCAGAGCTTTAGTAATTTCACATCTATAATATCTTTAAGTACAGAACCAAAAGAGTATAAAAATCATGTATAATTTAGTGCAAGTATGACTTGTACACTAAAACTGAAAATTGTTGAAAAAAGTTAATCTAAATAAATGGAAAGGCATCTCCTGTTCATGGACTGAAGATAACGTTGTTATGATACCAGCACTCCCCAAATTGACTTACATAGTTCAACTTAATCCCTAGTGGAATCCCAGATGCCTTTTCCCCCTAGATATCGAGATACTTAAAAACAGAAAGTCTTAGCCTGATAAATTTTCTTAAAATGTGTACGAAAATTCAAGGATCTCAGAATAACCAAGCAATCTTGAAAAGAAATGCGAGTGGGTCAAGGGAGATGTGCTGCTAATAGGTATGGAATTCATTTTAGGGAGGACAAAATGTTCTAAAATTAGGTAGTGTTGATAGATGTGCAACCCGGTAAAATACTGAAAAACACTGAATCTTATGTTGTATATGGATGAATCATATGTTATATAAATTATAGCTCAACAAAGCTGATGTTTTTTTTATTTATGTAAGTGTGCCCCACACAGTGGGTGATTAATAGGGACCATGTGTCTGGAACTTGAGTAATATAGTTGCTCTTTATTAAAATAAAACTATTTTTCTAATAAATAAACTACAATCATATCTTAACCTATGAATGTGTGGAAGTTAAACTATTTGAAAGAAATTTTTGTTTTCCCCACAAAGAAATTACTTCTTATATCAGTACTCATCTTTGCAAGTATGTACTTTGGAACAAATCAACTTTGCTCAGATCAAAAAAAAAAAAAAAAATCCAAGACCAGACTCTTTTTTTTTTCCTGCCACTTGAAACCTTTCTATTAAAAAGTTACATAAGCTGATTTAAATGTCTCTTTAGAAATCAGTATATTTCAATTCACTTGAAGAAACTGTAGAAAGAAAAAGTCATTCAATTTAGCAAAAAATACAACATTCAAACTTTCCCCCTAGATATCCTGCAAGTTTTCAAAAGCATTTACCTTTATCAAATAAAATCAAAGTGTATGGTATCACTTAAAAACTTATGCTTGAATTCATATGCTAAATTATATCTTCTCTTTTTCTTTTCTCTTTTATAGTCTACTCAGGAAATTTATCAGAATACCTTCTTAATTCCATGATAAAACCAGGACCTCCATCCAACTTTTAGATATTAAATATTATAGCGAAAGTTGTCTACTGAGGGAAAAAGTATTGGTTCACAGAAATCCAGAGGAAAAAAATAAAAGTCTGAAATCTGTTAGCCTGTTAAATTCTCTGCTAGTGGAACCATTCTCAACTTCAAGTTAAAAAGAGAATTAGCCTGTCATAGCTAGCTCATGTGACTGTGATCTCAATCACTCATCATTCAGACTCTTATGATCTTCTAGGAATTAATGTGTATCACCTCTAAGGGTACAGGATGCTGAGAACACAAAGCTCCCGTGACGTGGCAATTTCACCAGCCGGAACCAAAGATTGCCGTCTCAAGATGCACTGAAATAGGCGGGTCCTATCATCTATTAAAGACACTGTAAGAGGGAGAAGAAAGATTGATCTAGGAGACCTAAGCCTTTTCCTGGATTTCACTAGAGTACATGTACAAATACTTCCAAGTACATAAGTGACTCAAAAGAGAAAATAGTTACTCTCAGCTCTGTCAGGTGCATTGATACAAGAATATTTATACCCCCCCCCCACCTTTTACTACCATGAAGCAAAATGCAAACATAAAATTTGAAAATCAATATAAATGTAAAATAAATAAGTAAATAATAAACATTATACACAGCAAAACTTCATGTTGTTCAATGAATAAATGGCCACAACTAAGCCACTATGAGTACAGACCCAGCCTGCGGCAGGCATATTTTATTAATGATTCAAATACCTCAAACGCCATTGTTATCAGTAAGGTAATTCTCCAACTTTAGGAACCAGGCTTGATGAAATCCCCCAGCAAAGCAGAAAACAGCTTTTCTGGAAACTTCCTTGTATACTAAACCATGCAAAGAATGCTCTTTGTTTATATGTGGAGTCGGTTAAAGGCTCCCATAATTATACAACCCAAGGGACATCTGAAGTTACAAAACAGGTCTTTGCTGAATGGGAC